GGGAGGCGGAGCCTGCGTGGGAGGAGGGGCCTGCGTGGGAGGAGGAGCCTGAGCGGGAGGCGGAGCCCGCGCGAAGGGCGGGATCAGGGGCGGGGTCTGAGCAGAGGCGGTATCGGGGCGGGGCTTGAGCGGAGGGCGGGCCCAGTCGGGGGCGGGGCGCCTCGGCACGAGGCGGGAGGCCGGCGCGGCTGCTGCCCGCTCGCCTGGCCGGCGGACGAGGCCGTCTGAGGCGGCGGAGCTCGCAGCGGGTGAGACGAGCCCTGTCGGGGCGGCCCAGGTGCCGGTTGGTCCCTAGCGCAGCGGGAGAGGCGCGGGCGCGGAGGGGTTGGTGGGGCCGCCCCGCTCCTCGGAGCCCGTGCCGGTCACYCGCGAAAATTGAGGCGCCCGGGCCCTGCCGGACCGAGGAGCYCTCGGCGCCGCTGCTTCTGGGGCCTGCGGGGCTGCTGTCCTGAGGGGCCCGGCGCGGCTGAGKGGGCCGTGCGGGCGGCCCCTGCCCTGGGGGAGCTCTGCGGAGGAGAGGTTGCTGAGGACGGCTCCCGGCACGAGGGGAAGGTCCCGGCCCGAGGGGAGCTGGGGGCTCTGGGGCCCCGCGGCCGCGCAGAGCCTTCTTGGTAGTTTATGCAGCTTTCGCTCTCTGCTTGAAGCCGATGTGCTTGGGTGCTGAATATGCACCTCACTCTCCTCACACACGTTTGAGTAATTGCAGGGTGCCTTTCTGCTCCAGCTTGGCTTGAAAGTGTGCCCCAGTGCATTGCCAACACTGAAGTAAAATAATATAAGATTCAGCAGGTCAGAGGAATGTGTTAATATTACAAATCCAAATCTAAGTCGAATAATAAAAGGAATTTCTACCTCATGAAATGTCCTAAATATATCTTTTGTGTGGTATGCAAATCTTTAGGCTTGATGCAAAGTCTTAATTTTACTGAAAAAGTTAAAATCATAAACCTTAATATTGAGAGCGCAATCATTCTCCTTTGTTCAAAGTTTAGTTCCAAGTTTAGTGCATTCATARAAGTTAGATGATGGGGGTCATTTGTCACTGAGTCTGTCACCCCTTTTGCTGTGTTTGGATGACGTCCAAAGCAGGCTGTTCTTCCAGCCTGCTGCGTGTGCTCCTTGTCCCGGCCCTGTCCTGCCTGTCTGCTGTCTTCCAGCAGCCTCGCTCTTGGCTCCTGGATCCTCTTCTGAGGATGCAGCTTATGACTTATTTGTCTAGAATGTGCTCCTTATTAATCACTAAATGTTAATATATGCTACTATACGGGAAAGTATTCAACTGGCAAGGAAGGGGTCTGATTAGACTATGGCTCAATATTTGATATTTACAGTGTTAGTAAATGTTAGTCTTGTGCTTATGGACAGTCTGTTTTTGGTTGCCATTTTAATGAAAATTTACTGCTCTTTGTTCAGAACATATCCCATCTAGGGGAACGGTGAGGTGTGAAAGCCATGGTGACCTTGATTGATTTTGCTGCAAGTGAAGGAGCAGCTGGAAGATTTTCGTTTTCCCTCGGGTATTTACAGGATAGCACTGGGAGAGGTTCAGTGCCTCTCTTCGGTCATGTGCTGTGCTGGAAGGGGATTGTTTCTCAGTCATAATATTTTGGCACAATGGCTTGAATCCTGGTATAGCATCAATACTCTTGAAATGCAGAGGTGTGTATTTGCTAAGCAAATAAAGGCAGTTTTAGGGGTGTATTAAGTTTTGTTGTAGTGCATTTGACCTTTGGTCTTTAAATAATATCCACTAACAGCTTGTAATAGTTATAGATACATTTTAATAATTTGGTTGAAAACGTCTTTACTGAAGGCAAATGGACTTGGAAAAGCTGAACTGGGAGGAGCTGCGCTCTGACAGTCATTGCAGAGATGGGCTGAGAGCTCCCTGGCCGACGAGGTGGGTGGTCCCGTGCTGGCTGTKCCCACCCTGAGCGTCTGAACCTGTGCGAACGAGACTGCCCTTTCCTTAACTTCAAGAAGCAAATGCGGAAGAGCATTCCGGTTTCTGGCACATTATGCTATTGTCTCTGGGACCTGAACTGTTCTTATAAGGAGCCAAATTTTTAAAGATTGTGGAAACCAAACTGCCTAACTCTGAGAGGAAAAATTTTTTTTTTAATAAATTCAAAATTTATTCATTACTGTATAAAGCAATAATGAAGATTTGGTACAAATAATCTTTTCCTAATATTGCTTGTGTAATGCTGCTTTGCTTGTCTGCAAAACATTTTGTGTTTTGTGTTGTGCATACTCTGTGTGTGTGCACCAGCTAGTTCAATTCCTCCTGGCAAAGACAATTAGAAAGAAACTAAGTACTGGAAAAACAAGTCCAACTTTAAGGGAGAGCTTAAGGTCTGATAAACCATCTATGTTCTGTCTTCTTTCAATGGTCATAGGTTCAGGACCCACAGTTACTTCATGCTGCTTGGACTGCCACTGATGGAAAGTGAACGTTTCTACCAGTTATCAAAAATGCTCTATCTTGCTCTGTCTTTGTCCTCACTAGAAAGAACAGGTGTTTGCCTTGTTCACAATTTAATTATTTGAAGTATTATTCTCTTTTCTATCACTCTTCCCTCATTTGCTAATTTGAATTAATCAACCGAGTCGTGCCATTGTTTTTGATTTTATTAAAATGACATCGGGACACATGCTGAGTGATTCACCACTTGAGCCCTAAGTGGGACATTTCTACTAGATGGATCAGTTTTTAAAATGACAGCATCTGTTTGCTTGTACACCATTATTTATGATTCTTCCCCAGGCGAATGTAGCAGGAGTCTGGTGAGTAATAACCAGCTGTTTGAATTAGCAAGCAGGGAAAGCAGTTATTTGATCTGTGAAGGAGTGTGGGTGCCAAGGCCAGAAGTAATAAAAGCTAAACAGATGCCCCAAATATATAAACCCTGCAAGGGGCTTGTAAATTACTTGAACTGTTCATTGGCAAAACAGTATCAGATGGATTGACTTTATCTGAATGGGTGTTAGAGGAGCCAGTGCCCCGGCACGTCTCGCCGCAGCGCCCTGGGGGTCTGGGGAGGCGCTGGAAGCCCCCCAGGGCCCTGGGCGGCAGCGCAGCCTCCGCACGAGCCGCAGCGCAGGAGGAGCACGTGGCACCGCTTTGAAGGGGACACCGCTAGGAGAGGCCGGGCGTGGGGACACGGGGCTCAGACCGTCTTGTCACGAGTSCTGTTTGCCTTGTGGGCTGGTCCTTGTGCTGACTTTGCGAGCAGCGTCCTCATGGCGAGCAGCTGGTCGGGGCGCCGGCTCGGAGCACGACAGTGGAGCTGGTGCTGCTGYAGCGCTCGGGGCTGCGTGCGGGCTCCGTGTCCCTCGGGTACCTCGCCCTCCAGCACTGCCAAAGTGATTTGTCTCTTTGTTACCTGTGCCTTGCGAGGGAGCTGTTGGAAAATGGTTTTTGGAAGACTTCTGGCATTATTGTGGCAGTTCATGAGGCTGTTCCTGAAGTGGCTTGGAATGGGAAATCCCATCTTGAGAATTTGAGTTTCCTTCCACTGTGATTTTGAGGTCAGGGCTAGGCAGCAGTTTACATTGTTCTCATCAGAGTGATTGCAGTTAACTCTTAAAGGAATTCCTTTAAMAAGTTTATGGCAACAGAAGCAAAAGTTAATTCTTGATGTAGGTCCTTCCCACTTATTAAGAAGATGCACAATAGAGCGCTGTGGAAGTTGCACTGAACGATCAGGCTCGTTTTCAGCACAGTTCATGTGCTGGGAGCAGCGTGTTGGGCAGCTCATCGTCCGCCACCTCCTGCCTTGCTTGGCCCTTGGAAGCTTTCAGGAGGAACTTGCTTCTCCTGTGCAGCTTTGGCTCTCTCCTGCCATTCTCCAGACTTGACYTTGCAGCTACTCATCCCATCCATGTCAGTACTTTCCTCCCCATTGGGATCTGAGCTCACAGCCCTTCCTTACTTGTGGCGATTCTTCTGAACTAAAATTCTAGTTCCAAACATTTTGAAGATTGTCACAGTATTTTATGAATCCTGCTATTTTAAAAAATATTCATTTAATATATATCTTATTAAGATTTATATCACTATGGCATTACTTGTCTCTCTGTGGTAGGTAAAGATGAGACCTTGAAACACATTAGCCTCTAGGTGGTATTATTTTGCCAATTTGTACAAAGGAAAGGAAAGAGGTCTAGCRGTAGCTGTAGCGAGGCTGTTAAAGGAAAGAATCCATCATCAGGATGAGTGATCGATAGATCCAGAACTACATGGGCCCTTGCAAGTGAAAAACTGGGAAGTACCAAAATAGCCTGCAGGATGGAGTGGATCCAGTTCAGGGCATGGGTAGAAAAGTGGAGCTTGTTGGAATCCAAGATACCTAACCACATTTTAACAGCTAGTATTTTTGTGCTGAATAATATTTGCAATTGTGAATTCAAATTAAGAGCTGTCAGGCTTCTGATATAAATTAACTTATCCACTTCCAAATTACCATAGAATTAATTTCCTTCACTTCATTTAGTAGAGGCAATTGCATTAAAGATCAGTGTTGCCTCCTTGTCTTGGGAGTGTCAAATTCTGCGGGAGGAGCAGGACCAGGCAGCTGAATAGTATTTTTGAATGAATTGTACCTCGTAACAGGCTCTTGAGCTTCTTCCTTTAGGCAACTCTGACCTCTTTACTAGGTTTTTACACCATTTCATAAAACTATAAAATAGTTAAATGCCTGCCTTTTRGATTATTTGTTTCCTAAACTTTTAACAGAATTTTCTGAAATTGCTTTAGGATATAATGTGTGCTTGCACAATACATCCCACAAGATTTATATAGAATCTTATATAAGAATTTCAAGTAGAATACCTTAACAAGTTATTATCAGGTTTGCCGTCTTTGTTCTAGTAAAATAAAATGAATAACATGTATGAGAAATTTCTTCAAAAAAAAAAAAAAAAAGAAAAAACCCTAGCTTTTTCTCTATGCAAAACCTTGAAACCTTTTWTTTCTAACCTATCTAAATTATATATGCACTTAGGTATGTCTGTCAGCTGTGTATCGCTCATATTTTAATATGTTAATTATARTTACATTACAGTATTGATAATTATTGTGTTACTACAAATTAATTTTAAATTATTTTTGAAAATACAGCTTGTCTTCACTAACATCTTGTAAGAACATACATAATACGAAAATGTGTATTGTTTAGTTTTACAGATGTTTTAAAGCTAACATACATACACAAGGCAAATTGTGCTGATTACTTAATTAGCAAGGATGGAACGAACTTTTAGCAAGTCCCATGGTTGGAGTCATTTTAAATTAAATATCATCCATGCATTTCATGATCATGCCCCAGGTCTAGATAACAGAAAGGACCAGCTTTTTGGCTAGAACTGAGCTGGTTTTAGCTGCTTGTTTTCTAGTTGTTTGTTGGACTGTTAATACAAGAAGCCAAAAGCGCGCAGACGAGTTTTGCCGCAGAGCAGGTGGGCTGCGGGTGCCGCCAGGCACCCTTGTACTTCGAAGGGGTGAGCGGCGGGACGGCGCGGGACGCGGCGCGGGACGCGGTGTCGCGGGGGGCGCCTCAGGCTGGTGTTGCTTGGGGCCTCCCGCAGGGCCGGTGGAGGCGCCGCCACAGCGGCCATCTTGCTGCGTGGCGGCTCCCTGAGGTGATGTGGGCAGCAGCCGCCGCCGGGGCGCCGCTGTCGTGCCGGGCCTGTGTTGGGGGGCGCCGCTGTCGTGCGGGCCCTTCTTGGTGCACACCAGGCCAAGCCGCGCGCCTGGGCCGGGGCGCAGCGGAGGAAACGCGGGTGCTGCTGCGCCCACCTGCTGGCTCCGCAGCCATTGGATTTAGGTTAAAGTGTTTGTTTCTCTACCCAGGACTGCTCGCCAAAACTCTTTGTGTGCTTTATATTTAAGAAACACAGGACGTGAAAATGTGAGACTAGAGAGGGTGAAGTGCCCTCCAGTCCCGAGGTGGAAGTGAGAAGAGGTAATTGCTGCGGAAGTGTCGTCGCAGCTGATCCTGACCGTTTGCTGAAGAGGATGAATGGCTGTTGAGGGCTCTGCAAGAGCAGAATGAGCACATCGGACTTTAAAGATTCCCCATGTCTTTGCTGGCTGCCTTCCTGCTCCTGTGGACAGGAGATGAATGATAGGGATTAATAAGGGATTAATAATACGTACGGAATTAATTGCTCCACAAGAGTGATTTTCTTCAGATAAGCAAGTTCATGCTGCTCGAGAGTGACAGAGCCACGTGTTTCGATTGTATCTCACAGCCGAGCGTAATTGTAAAGTGCAAGTGTAATGACGGGTATGTCTTTATCAACCTGTTTTCYGCATTGTGTTTTTTATCACTGCCATCTGCTCTGACGGGAGCGGCAGCTGCCAGGTCTCACAAATAGCACTGTCATGTACTTCAGTGTAGAACAACATATTGTTGTAATTTCTCTATTACTAGATGGAATAACTTTAACTGAGGTAAGGTAGCATTGTGCCTGGCGCTTTGGAATATGCTTCATTGCATCGTTTGTAAGACACGCGATGTTCCTTCTGGAGCAGGCTATGACAGCACAACCRGTTCCAATTTCAGAAATCACTGGAAAACACTTCTTTTTCCAAAAATGTTATGTAACATCCATCTGGGATGAAGGCATCTTTGCTTAGATGCAGCTGAGATGCCTTCAGTGGTTAGCGTTAGTTACAAATGTAGCTTTAGTTACGTTAGCTGGATGGAAATTAAATTAAGCTATTATTTGAATTTATTTTATTTTCATTAACTTGAATTTTGGTGTCTTCATATTTACAAGCATATGTAGACAGCTTCTTTAATATTGGAAAAAAAATTCTTCGCTGTTTTTTTTACGGTATTTGGAACATCAAATATCTATTGCGTTTACAGTGTTTTGTTGACAATTTTTGTCAGTAAGCTTTTTAGTGTCTAGGCWGTCTGCTGATTTGTAACGGTGCATTTAGTTATTTCCAGGATTTATGGCTGTGGGTTTCGCTGCCTCCATTGGCCCTTAGGTGTGGGCATTTAAGTTAAGACGAGACTGGGTGCTCCCAGGCACCCAGCTTAGACTCTCCTGGGGCTCCCTGGAGTTAATGGAGAGAGAGGCCTCCTGCGAGCAACTAAACCCTGGAAAGGGTATTCTAGGTGGTGGCGGGTACAACAAGGCACTCCCTGCTGTCCRTTTCCCTCCTTGGGTTAGAAGGGAATTAAAGGATTGGTTTAGATTCCCTCTTGCCTTCAGGTGCATAAAGGTAGGTGAGGTGAATCACATTCTGATTTTCTTTAATTGTTTATATTATAATATTTTCTGTAAAGATTAGGAGGTCAAAATTATGTTCAAAATTCCTCTAAATTCTGTAATTATTTATCATGAAAAAAGTAATAAGTTCTGCACTTTGCTGTTTCCAAGTGATTTGGGCAAGTGAGATGTTAGATATATTCATTTAGATGTTTGAGTGGTTTTTTTTTTGTTTTTTTTTCCAAAAAAAGCCAAAAAAGCAGTTCCACAAAATAATAAGGTTAAAGTTTAACACCTACTATTAACATGAATAAATCTGAAAGAAAAAAAAAATCAAAAGCTGTGGTTACAAAGAAGGTAGAAAAAACCACCAAAGCGGTGCGTATTTTATGTATTTTTTCATTTCCATTTTAGGGAGGATTTTTGTCTATGAGAGAATTAAGTGGAAGAATTGATGAACCTTTATGTGCTAGTAATATGAAACACCATCAGGGTCTTTATTTTGGGGGAGTCTGAGGAAAGCTTTCYGCCTGTGCTTGCAGGTGGGGTCTGGCAAACTTAGGTAGCAAACAGTTATTGACCCAGAGCCTCTGACGGGTATTGAAAGGAATAAATAATGCACAGCATCTTGGTCATAGYAGAGTTTTAGTCCAGTTTTTGTTGCCATCAGTGGCGGGTCTTTTAGCAAATCTTTAGCTGTTAGGAAATGGTGAAAACAAGGGCCTGCATTTTGAAATCTGTCTAATCAGATTGGTGCCTGGAAACTCCTGTCTTATGTTTGCCGCAGTCTCTTGCAAATGATGAAAAGCAARGGAAGAAGGAAAATGGTGTAGCTTGGAACATTTACCTGCCTGTTGCAATGKGTCCATCAGACATGTTTGTGTTATAGCTGTGACACTACATCTTTCAGACCACTGAGAAGAATTGCAGGAAGATGGACTTGGGAGAGTTCTAGCTTATGAGAGCTTATGAGAAACACCATTCTCGATAAGGCAGAAATAAGTCCTTATTATAAAGAAGGTGGAATAGCTGCTTTTGATTCTTGCGTCCCTTTTACTCAACCACAATGGGATGTAAGGTATTGATAACTGTATAGTATTGATAACTGTATAAAAGAGGCAAAAGGGAAACTTATTCAGCCTATTTGGGGAATTGCAGGAAGTGGAAGGATATCTTGGAAAAGTGAGGGAAACTCGGTACACCTTTCACCAAGTTTCTTTGTCTCATCAGACTGAATGTTTATTCTTGGAATGCTGTTGTTGGCCAAGGAGAGGTGGCTGTGAATTGTGTTCTACAGGCGACTGAGATGGGGCTGGAGGAAAGCTCTGGACATTGTGTGCTCTGGAAATGCAGGTGTTGCCTATTGTGATGGTGGTGCATTTTAAGAGCTGATAAAGGCTCCTGGCTCTATACTGACCTTGAGCACATAAAAGATTGCCTTTTTACTCTAATATTATGGAAGTGTCATTTTTATTAATAACACTTTATACATACATATACACCTTTACAGGAATATATATCTAAACATAGTTTT